ATCTCTGAGTTTCATATTTTAGTCAAAATGGTTCTTCATAAATTAAAAAAAATATATTAATAATATTTAGGGGTTCTGATTTTTAACTTAATAAATAAATATAAAATGAAGGGGTTTTTTTTTATTGTAAAAAATATGATTAATAAATTAATATCTGTTTAAGTATTAATGAAAGAATCAACCTAATAATTATGTATTGTGCTCACTTTGCTTCTTATACAAAAAAAATGTAACCACTTACACCACATAGGAGAATGCAAGATTAAGGGGTTTTAAAATAGTGCAGAAAGATCAGCTATTGACCAGGACCTTACAATTTGCTTGGTCTATTGAGGTTTGGTTTAATTCAACGCTTTTAATAGGGGCCAAGGAACATGGGCTGGATTTGGAAAGCCCAGATAGAACTTGGACGTTGGAAGGAAGAGAAAATGGTCAAAAGCGTACTTTTAGTTCCTCACCTTATTAAATTTGAAGGTTTTAGTCTCTCACCTTATATTATGATATTTTTAACCTGTCACCTTACTAAATTTGTAGGTTTTAACCTTTTATCTTATATTATGATACTTTTAGCTCATCACATATTAAAATTGAAGAAAATAGCTCTCACTTTGTATCATTTTATTAGTTATGTTAATTGACTGTTAGTTATCAAAAACTTTTTTTTAGCTAGTTTCAGCTAATAAAGTTAACATAACTAATTTTATAATAATTTGTTAATTATGTTAGTTGGTTATTAGTTGATTATTAATTGATAAAAATCTACTTGCAGTTAATAGAGTTAACAGTCAGTATAAAATGAGAGCTATTTTCTTCGATTTTAATAGGTGAGGGGCTAAAACCTATGAATTTAGTAAAGTAATGGATTAAAAGTGTCATAATATAAGGTAAAGAGTTAAAACCTTCAAACTTGATAAGGTGAGGGGATTAAAATAGGTTTTTGTCGAGAAAATGTATAAGTAAGAATGTTGATTTTGTAATTTTTTTTAAAAATGATGTGAAATTTGTTAGTTTTTAATTTAAGTGATAAATTTCTATTTTTTTCTATTTAAAGCTTTGATTTTTTTTAATTTAAATATAACAATTGTGTACATTTATCATGTTAGCATTATTAGTTAATTAATTTTTAAATAAAAAATAAAGTCGATATTTTTAAATAAACAATTATAAAATTAAGAATAATAATAGTAAGAACAAAAATTTAGAACCAATGATATGGTTTATATCACATTATTAAATTAATTATGCATGTAATATGAAGGGTTTTAAAAAATTAAAAAGAATCAATTATTAAATAATATAAAATTTATTTTTTAATATTTTAAATAACGTACTTATGTCATGTTATTAGTTTTAAATTTCAATCTTAAATTTTCATCTCATTTATCATTATTCTAAAATTAATATCTTTATTTGTGCTTTTTCTCTTGGAACGAAACCTTGAGAAGGCCTGCTTTGACGCATTTCATTATCTGAAACAAGAGTTTGCCAGTATGCATTGCTGTCTGTTTGATGCTTTCTCCTTCTTACATTACCACATGTGGGTGAGAACGCATTCTTTCGTTTGAGGACACAAAACGCGACCGTGCAACTTGATAATTAAAACCTAGCTAATTTTACTTTTTAATTCTATACTAGATGTATCCTAGCAATATGAAAATGTCACTATAATCGAATTTTATTCACCGCCAAAAGTTTAAGGATATAAAAACTTTTTTCCGTCCACTACCAGCATTTTTAACTGACAAAATTAGGGTAGCCCATTATTAAGCAACATCGAACTCTCATCTTTGCACATGGTCTAATGAAATATTACCTTTTTTTCTTCAAAAATGGAAGAAGAAGGTATGCAGCCATCAACCTAACGTGGTCGGTACGGTTTTGACACATCCAAACCACAAATTTAAGCCTTTTGACTAAGTAATAATTAAGACCAAATACACTACTCAATTTCTACACTTTCTAATCTTCTTCATCCCCACCTATTGTCAATGTAATGACATAATTATTTGGGTCCAGCTCCTAATTAATAATCCCAAACCTTTTGTTTTTTATGACATCTTAACAATAACTAACAAGATATTATCCAAAACCATGATGGCACAGTTAAAAAATAAATGTGTCAAAACAAGGACATATATGGCATGATTTTTCTTATCTATACCTTTCAAAATAATGATGCAATTATTATATTTTTTAATGTTAATAGATATTAAAAAATAAAAATTAACATTAATTTTATTATTAATATTTTGTGAATTATTTTACTTAATAAAAATCTATTTTTATTTTTTTAATATTAATTAATATAAAAATATGTATAATAATTACATCATATAACCATACCTATTAGAAAAACCCTATTTACTAGTATATGGTGTGGCACTAGCCATTATGCCCGAACCGTCCCCAGTGTTCCTTTTCTAGTGGTGTGGCTGTTGTACCCAAATTAAAAACACATCATTTTCCAGCCACCAAACCCCTCTTCCTAATGGGCCCATCCAGACCTTCCCCCTACTTCCTCCGTCACATATTTAAACACCTTATTTTATTTCATTTTTTTGAGCATGGAGAGCTTTTAGGAAATGAAAGATTTTTTCAAATAATTAATAAGAATAAAAATTAAAAATTCTAATTATTTGAACCTAAATTTTTAAATTTGATGGTGAATCATTAAGTTTATTGGGTTTATTCATATTTAAAGTTTTAAACACCTTATAGAAAAAAATCATTGTAATTCATGCGATACATTGGTCGGTGGATTGCATCAAGCACCCCTACCTTCTTATTATCTTCTTTCTTGTTATTTGTTAATATCCTTCTTTCTTTTCTTTTCTTTTCTTTTCTTTTTTTTTTTTTTCAGATTTTTAATTTACAACATGTTTGATGTTGATCAATTAATTGTGTTAGTTCCTATGGATCCCTATGGGGGTCTTAAATATGTTAAAGATAAATATCTCAGTTTATTGTTTCCTACACTACCCATATTTTTTATGACTCAAGGGTCATGGCAACAATACTTTCAATTTCCAAAACCACGCATAACAAAATGGTAGAGTTGGATTCACTTAACACATATACTTATATATTATCAAAAATTAATTTATAATTCTAAAAGATTATTTTTAATAGTGCTAGCTCAATGTGATAAATAAAAATGATGATGCTCGTTTAATTCATTGAATTTGAAACTTTATTTATCCATGATTTATGTGAGACTAAAAGATTTTATAGAATTATAGGTCAAATTAAATTAACTTGTGTCAATAATTAATGGCAAATATTTTACTCTACCTAAAGAATTATCACTTAGTTGATAAAGAGGTTTACTTCTCAACTTGTGAACTAAGTTTGATTTATTGGAAAGGTCAATAATAATATAATTTCTTATAAATACTCTAGTTATAACATGGATAACTTACCCTTGATTAAACTGAAAAAAAATTAATCTCAAGGTATATATGCTTGAGCTTATTAAAAAAAATGTAATTGCTAATAAATAAATAAATATCTAACTCTTAATAAAAACTAATACTATTATGCATTAATCATGTATGAGTAAAATTAAATGATATTAATTACTATTCTTTGTTAATACTAATAAATGCTAACATGTTAAATAATTTAGTAAAAGATTTTTTAATTAAATTAAAAATTTTTAAACTTTTAAATTTAAATAGTATAACATAATCTCTTGAATTCAAATTACATATTATATCAATAAGGTGGTTGAGTTAAAAATATGAGAAACAACTTTTTCTTATTTAACACAAAA